GCCCCTCCCACTACTAGTCTGGTAATCAGCATATCCAGTGACCAGTGACCATAGTGTTTCTACTCCTCTCACAGGGGCACTGGGGCAACAGGTGCATGCATAACCATGCTGGGCTTGTTATGTGGTGACTGGCATCTACATTCAGGCAGGTCTTCATAATTTCCAATCAAGGACTTTCAAGCATCCAGTCATCTCTTCAACCTTGTGTTTTATTTTCTCCCTTTTTTCCTGGCTCAGTTTTGTTAAAGATTAGCTAACTATTACACCTTTTAATAAATCAAATCAGGTTTGTCCATTTTTTTCTATTTCATATTTTCTTCTATGTCATTAATTTCATTTTCATGAAATTTTATGTTTTAAGAACTCTGTTTCTTTGATTTTTTGCATTGTTTTTAGAATTTCCTTCAGTCTACTTTGTTGGCTTTAGTTAGCTCTCCTTTTTCTCTGTGTTTTTTATATAAGATTAAATAATTTATTGTCAGCCTTTCTTTTTTCTTTGATAACTTTCTGCTACAAAGTGATAATTAAATATGTTCTTTTACAATTTATGTTAGGAAAACCTTAGCTGATAAGTTTTCACCATAGCAAAGAGCAATAATAGTGTCACTATGTCAATAAAGGTCCATTCAGGGGAAACTGTTCTTTTCTGATCAAACTAATTGAATCTGTCCTGGGTAGAGACCCAGCATTTCATGTGGGCAGGTCAACCACCTGGCTAAAGCACCAACCCTCAGGAAGGTCGGTCTACCTTAAGACATGCTAAAGAGATGGGAAGAATAGTTATCTCTTTAATGAGATAGTACATTTTTCCTTTAGAGTTCCTATCCCCTAATGAAGTTACTCCACAGCGAGCAAAAGGTTCTGTCGGGTCAAGACTCAGAAAGGCTTAACTTTTCCTTTTACTTCTCTTCTGTCTTTCTTTTTAATACAGGCCAGAGACTAAGGATGTTTTTTCTGGTACTTTGGGCTTCCTAACTCTTCCTTGTGACCTCCTTCCCCATTACTATGTGACTGCTTGTGTGCTATGTGGTTGAAAACCCTGCCTAACTCAAATGGCATGGCTTTCTTTCTTCCCTCTCTGTCTCCTGTTCTGGGCAGCTGCCAAACTTTGCAAGCTGCACGCTTTGAAGTTTTCTTTTCTTTTAAACTCTATTAAAATTGCTCTTTTTCAGTCTGCTTTTAATTCTTTTATTAATGAGACTAAAATTCTTCAAAGGAGCCCACTTTCCCTGTAACATGTATTCCTCTACCAGGACTTCCCAAAATTTTCAGTCACACTAAGTACACTAAAACTGTCATTCATTAAGCTGTATAATAAATGTCTACTGAGTTTTTACCATGGACAAGGAGCTGAAGACAACAATGAATAGGACACATCTTGATGTTCATGAAATTGGTAGTAATGGGGGTTAGCTGATGGTAATCACAGACACACAAACATAGGAGATGATGCTAGGCATTCAGGCATTTATTCAATGATTGTAATACCAGTTTTGAAATTAAGAATGGCTAGGATGAACATCCAGACTTAGTACTTCAATATGCTAGGACATTGTCATCGTGGACTACATTTCACTAAGGAGAAAACAGTGATTACAAAAGTTAAGGAAACAAATTCACGAGCAAGGAATGGATGGAGACTTGAAATAACAAATTCTTCCCAATTCATCAAGATGTTTTTAGACAGCCATACATTCTTTATCCGTTTTGTTATGGTCTGTGATTCTAAGACACTGGTAAGCCACACACAAGAAAATAAAGTTCCATAGAACACTGTAACCCTTCCAATGGCCTGTTGGTTGTAACACTAGCATTCCAGGCTTAATTTGTATTCTTTAACTGGAAGGATACAGTTACAGAAAGATGTGACAATATGATTTTATTTACTTCTATAATTCTCCAAAAGATATACAAAGACAATTATATTTATGCTTGAATTTTATAGGATGGTCGCAAGCAGGATGGGAGGAAATATTCAAATGACTAGCTACTAGAAAAATCCATAAATGCAAGTAAAGTACATGCCTTAGAGAGCATAACCAAGGCATCCCAAAAATCCCACACTATGTAAATGAGGATTGCTTGCAGCCTCAAAATGTAAAATCTTGTTATCCTGAATCCCATTTCCTTCCTTCTAAATGGTGTCTTGTTGCAGGACCCTTTTCATGCACACAGCCACCCTTCCCTGTGAAAATCACCACAGATAAACAAAAGGCACTATATGGGCTCCCTCCACAAACAAGCTCCTAGCAGGAATTTCTTTCCACCGCTCTGTTTGTTTCCCTTCGCTTTGCTGTTCCAGGCAGACAGCAGTCAGTCTGCCCAGCTCTGCTGTCAGCAGATGAAACCAAACAAAGAAATCTCAGGACCCAAACAGTTCACAAGAGCATCTGCAAACATTTGAGAGCTGGAGATATTCAAAACCTGTGACTTTTGCTTTAAAATCAAGACGAGCCAAGATGGACACCAAGAGGGATGCTGAAGGGTTGAGAGAATAACAATGAATAAAGAGACAAGGTTTCTGCAGACACCTGGGGGGTTCTATACACACCAAGAGGGATGCTGAACCCTGAGGAACACTGAGGAATGGAAAGAACAGGGCAGGCATCTCGGCACATACCCCTTCTTTCAAATCCCTCTCCAGAGCTAACTAACCTAAATTGCTAATACCTAGTTTTCTCTCTGATGGGTCTAGTCAGTATGGTGAAGGTTTTTAAATTCTCTGTGTGACAGAAGAATGGAGCCTAATTAACACCCCTCCCCCCCAAATAACCTGCAAATAACAAAACCTGTTGTGGGGGAATAAAAACACATTTACACTTCCTTATCAAATTAGGGCCCACAAGTGCTCCTAATTAGCTAAAAATCAATGATCAGGACAGCTAACTAAATGGATATTTACCATCAGTGAAAGGTTTACTCAAGCAATGGGTGAAGCATAAAGGGGCCACTGGACTTGCTTTAGGCAGTCAGTGAAGAGCCGGTTCCTACAGGAACTTAAGAGTGAAGGTCTGGTGCCTACAGCTAATGAGTGGCACCGGAATCTGAAGGTCACTTGTCACAGCAGTGGCCTATACCCCACACCACCAGAGACCAGAGAGGATTTAGGTGTTTAACACTGATTATGCATTAAAACCTAGGGGTGGAGATCATGTAGGACATCAGCGATGCTCATGCAGTTCTTGGTGTTGACTTGAAACTGCATGTGCAGAACTGCGAATATTGAGTAAGCAAGAGAGGTGCTTTTAGTTGTTTATTGGAATTTCTTCCTAAGTTACTGGTTCTAGTTTTGTGAAGTATGGGGGGGGGCTTTGCAGCCAGTAACTATTGAATAATCATTTCCTTTAGGACTATGTGCAGCTTGAAACTTAAGACTTCAAAAGGACAGGATAGCATTCCCTGGCCAAGGAACCCAGACTCAGGGGGATAGGTGACAAATACTTTCATTTCTGTTTTGTTTCTGCTATGGTATTTTATTCTAAACGTGTTGGATAAATGAAGTGACTTAACGGTTAACAGTGAAATGGACACCACACCTCATGGTAATTAGTTACATGAAATACAAAATGACAACACAGACACTTACCATGACCGCCTTCCATTCTAGACAAGCACCACTTTTTTTAGTGGGCATCAGAGCAGCTTCTGCTATGAGGTTAAGCACTTCCTCTCATTACAACTGAAATGGAGAGTGTCATTAGTTCCTTCCCATGCCAGGGGATTCTCTGCCCTGCCTGAGCAGACTGTCAGGGTACTGGTGTGTTTGTTTACTTAATGAAGTATCTGGGGGCCTCTACTGGTGTTTAGGAAAACATCAAGTGATACAGATCCAGAGATTTAAAAGAATCTAAGGAGGCAAGCCTTGCTTTTGTGTGAGCATCACTCAAAACCCCAATCACACATTTTTCATCACACTCTCAATGCTGTAAACACAGGTGAGCTGATCATTATCACCTCCAATGTCACCTTTCCTAAGTGCGTGGTGTTATTTCATGTTACTCTGTGTCCTCCGCTCTGGCAAATGCCACCCAGCCCTGTTCATCGTCGCTGCACTCAGTTATCAGCCTGGAGATTACTTTTTTTTTTCACCCTCTGTCAGCTTATATCACATCCGAACTCACTGTTCTCTGGGGATTACGGAAGCTTTTCCATTAAACCAGCTGTTTGCTTTTATTTGTTTCCCAGCAATGGCAAAACAGCTTTGTTATAAATTAACAGTGTCCACATCAGATGGAGGGGGGAAATCAGTTTCTGCTTTATATCTGCTGTATTTCCAGTCTGGTACAACCGACAGACACATAAAACACAGCTAGACACTGCCAGCAGGAGAAATGGGAAACAGACAATAAAACCTGAAGCAGGCAGACACAAAGGTGACTACAAAATGACTTCCAAACCACACAAGAAGAATGGAGGTGAGCGTCATTAACCGTGGTCATGCTATGTGACATACTGTTAGTAATTTCTCCCAAAATATCAATAATATGAGAGATCCATGCCATACATATTAATGATAGCAACGTTTACACTGTCTAAAGACAGCAGTCTTCTACCACCAGAAGACCACAAAGAAGAAAACAAACTACCAGTTAATACATAGGTGTCTGTGTGTCTCCAAATGGGTCCCAGAGACATGCTTAAAACACAGATATGGATGGGAGATGACTTCTGTTGGTCAAATTGTAGATTGTATTAGTTCCCTTCCCTAAGAGCTGAGAGCGATTCTAGAAGCCTTTTAGTGTTTCAGAGACCAGAAGAGACCAATAGGAATAAAGGAGTTGAAAGGTAAGCAGAGAAGCTAAGTTCGGATGGGTTTTTGGCACACCTGCCCATATCCTGGTCATGTGAGGTTATCAGAGACTGCATCCAATTACGGAGGTAAGACAGTGGCTCTTTCACACCCATACAGGCCGGGGAGCCACTGTGGAATATACCCAGCATGTCGTAGCTCTGTTTATCAAAGGATTGAAGCATGAGTCTTCCTTTACTATAAACCCAGCACTTAGGTAAGAGATGAGGTGCTCTGAGAGACACTGAAAGACTGTGACAAATATAGGATTTTTGTTTTGTTCTTGACATTTATTGAGAATCAGTGTTCAAATGCATATGAGGGGAAATTTTATGACCATGAGGTAACCGTAAAGACTAATGATGACCCGTTGGCCCTTCTACAGTCAGCAGAACATCCATCATGTAGGCAATGTCGCAGAGGGTTTTCTGGAAGACTCTTTCCAGTATTTTTGATGCAGCATGACCCTGCTGTTTCTCCTCCTAAGTTCAGCATTCTTCTGATGATTACCAGTCTGGCGCACATGATCCCAACTGTGGATCCAGGTCCCCCAGGACTTCGTACTATTTGGGGGTATGTCACTCCTCACTGCAAGTGGGAACTTCACTCTCCTATTTTAAAAATAAAGCATGGATAACCTCACGTGCCTCAGAGAAATATTGTGAAGATTAAGGAAAAACATGATATGATAAAGATAATTCATCTTTTCAAATACCAAGGATAAAAAATGTATATTTCAAAGACTCAGAAATCACTCAAAAGCAAAGGTTTTGTGGGTGAATCCCACTGTTTTGTTAGTCAGAAGAGGGTGTTGGCATTCCGGGAGCAGGAATTCAGGCAGCTCTGAGCTGCTTCATGTGGGTTCTGGGAAGTGAGAAGGAGCCAAACTCTCCCAACTTTCTGCCACAAAATATTGTTGGTCAGTGGCTCCATTTCTATAGTAGGTAGCATATATGCCCACGCAGCTCTCATGATATATTTCAGTGGGAAAAATTAACATTTAAAAAGATATAAAGGAGTCCAGAGTTTCACAACATCCAAAAAGGTACAAGAAACCCAAATGCTACTCATCAAACCATGATCCCCCAAAAATTATTCTACAGTAAGAAAAGAATCCACAGATGCCAAAACAAAATAAATCAGATAGGTAACTATCTAATGGGAACTTTACAGCTTTCATCAAAACATACCTCCAAACACACTTAGAAATTCTTTGGGACAATTGAAAACATTACAAAAGGTCAAAATAAGAACATATACTAAAAACTAACCATATGAAAATTGCACAGCTACAAGATCTAAAGTTAAAAAAAAACTAAAAAATCTCACTGCACAAACTATGTTTGTTGATCAAGCAAAGGAAAGGGAACACTGAAAGTGAGGGTAGGTCAACAGACTATTCAGTGTGAACAAGAGAGATCAGACATACTGGAACAGTCTCTGGTTGCTACGTGACTGAGGCTGTCTGAGCTAGCATTTTGAAAGAGAAGTGATCAGATGGAACTTGGAGAAAAAAGTAATAACTCATTCATAGGAAGAGGGATATGGCTCAGCACTTAAGAGCACTTGCTAGCTTTGCAGAGAGTCCACGTTCTGTTCCTAGCACTCACAAGATGACTCTCTAGTGTCCATAACAGTATTTACATGGGATCTGGTGCCCTCTTCTGGTCTCTGAGGACATCAGACATACACAAAGTGTATATATAAACATGCCAAACAAACAAAACTAAATAAATCTTTACAAGGAAAAAGTATTTGAAGGAAATAGTGTCTGAAACTCCTTAATTCAGATTCCAGAGTCCAAGAAAACCACATGTAGGATAAATTCAAATCATCCCAAAACATACCATAATTAAGCACCTGAAAATTAAAAACAAAGATCTTTGATTTTTAAACCACAACTTACTCATAGAAGACCACCAGTTTGAATGAAACCTATGGTCAGTGAAACAGTAGCTCCACATTTTTTTCAGGAACTGAAAGAAGACAACTGTCAATCATAAATTCTGCATCTTAACCAAAATTCCTTCAGGAATAAGAAGGAAGTTCACTTGGTTTTAGGCAAAGGGAAGCTAAAAAATATGTGCTAGCAAGTCAACCTTAATGAATAGCTATAAAAGTCAGGTTGACAATGGCAGACTCACAATAGCACTCAATGAGTACCCAACATATATGTACAGAAAATACTAAGATAATTATAGTTTAGTATAGAATAACGTTAAATGGAATTAACACTTACATGCTTCATTTGAAAGAATTAATTAAACACTGATATCAGTTGACTACTATAAATTAGGCAGTGATTCTAAAATGTCTAGACAAGCCACTACAAAAGTTATATAGAGTAATACCTGTAATTTAAATGTGTTACAAATGATGGTTGATCTCCAAATAGCCATATATTCTCAAAGACATCAATAGAAGAGAAACTGAGAAATGAGAAAAAAGGAAGAGAAAACAGTAAAATGGTTTTATGTCAATTGCACATACATTCAAATTTCTCAGTATCACTGTACATACTTTTAAGATAACTAGAAGGTAATACACCACCCCAGATTTCAAGAAAGTATTTTCAGAATCTTCATTTATATCTGTGTGTTTCTTTAGCAGGCTCACACCATCACATTCAAAATTTGTAGGGATTCTTACAATTCAACTAAGAAAAACAACAAAAATGGGCAAATAATTTGACAAATACTTAATAAAAAGTAAACCCCAGAGAAAAAGTTAAAGAACAACAGCAAAAATGCTCAGTTTTGTTACTCATCATGGAAGAGAAAATTAAAATCCCATGGAGTGAATAACTAAAATCAAAGAGACCGGCAGTACTCTGGTATTCTGGTAGCAGCAAACATATTTAGCACTTGGATAGTGGTTTCAAATACTACTATAATTGCATAGAATGAGGACTTCTTAGACACACAGCTGTCCTAAGACTGAGACAGTAAATACACAAAACAATATAGAGCATTTAAACTGTCAGGGACTAAAGAACAGCTTTAACTACTACTACCACCCCAAACACACACACACACACACACACACACACACACACACACGCACACACGCACACACGCACACACGCACGCACACACACACACACACAGAGGCAGAGAGACAGAGAGAGAGAGAGACAGAGACAGAGAGACAGAGACAGAGAGACACAGAGAGAGAGAGAGATTGTAAGCCAACTTGATAAGCTGCTACTGGCCCAGCCTAGAATAAGTTGAGTAACAAAATGAAGTAGAATTGGATTAGAACTAGAAGATTGAAATATATGCCTATGAATCCATACTTATTTAAGTAACTGAATAAATAAATTGAGGATAAGAAAAAGCTTTCCATGCAGAAAAATTATGCAGAAATGATGTGGCCACTCCACTCTCAAGGAAGTCAAATCTAGCTCTCCACTCTTTATGTATTGTTATGGGTACTGGCTTCCCTCTGAAGAGTACAGCACAAAAAGAGAGGGAGTAGTTCTAAGAGTAACTTTATGTCAGTGAAATCTGGCAAACTATTTCAACCTACTCATCAGAGTTATCAGCAGTTCTAAGTCATGTCAATAATGTGTCCTTGACATAACATGAAGAAAATGGCTTTATCTTACCCCCCTCAATCCATTGCCTCGATATAATCATGAAGAAAACAAAGGATGAGTTCTGAAGCCCTGCATTAAGAATGGTTTCTCTCATTACTGTGAGCTTGGCAATCAGTAAGAGGACCCCAGGGCAACTGGCCCCCTTTAGCCTGCCAATTATGTATTATGTCAGAAATTGCACATGGGCAACATAATCAGAGGTAAGAACAGCCTGAGGAAATAATGGCACTTGTCCTTGAGAATGTCCCCTGTTTCCCACCCCCCCTCGAGCTGAGACTATCCATTAGTCACCTATATAAACCAGTCCTAAATCAGCTGCCTGCTAAGATGGACCCTTGACAAGAGTCTTCAACTTTCAAGTCAAGTTGGCTTTTCTAATGATTTCACGTTTTCCTTGCTTCGGTGTCTGTCAACTTAGTGACTTACTTTGTGTTTTGCAGGATGACTTGAGTCTAGCAACTGTCCCCATAAGAGAACATTGGATGAAAGAACTAAAGGTGAGAACTTTATTCAAAACAGACAAGTTCAACCAAAGTGAAGCAGTTAAGAGGATACCCTGCCCTCCCCATCAATAACTAATTAAGAAAATGCACTATAGACTTGTCCATAGCCAAATATTAAGTACGCATTTTCTCACAAGGCTCTGTCCTCTCTGATGACTCTCATTTGTGTCAACTTGACATAAAACCAATCAGTAAAGACATTACAGATTAAATGGACCTGGGTTTTCTCAGAAAGGGATCTGGTTAATGGCATTTTACAATAAAAGTACGAACATACCAGCACTGTTTTAGTACTTTATTAATGAATAAGATCCGAGGCCCTACTATGGAATGCACCTTGTATGCGCATGTGCCTGTGCACAGAGAGGGGGGAGGGAAGGAGGGAGAGCCAGAGAACTCTTTGTGCATGTGCACAACTTGCTTAGAAAAATGCCATCTGCAATGCTGCACCCCACACTGCTAAAGCATTGACTGGTGGTCTTGCTCAGCAGCTTGATGCCAAGGTTCACAACCTGATTTGATGCCAGAGCCCATTGGTAGAAGGAGAGAAACAACTTCTGCAGACTTCTGCAAAGACACTGTTGCATGGGCACATTACTGCTTGCGCACGCGCACGTGTACACACACACACACACACACACACACAAATAAATGAATGTAATAACAGATTTAAAGACAGCCTCTGCAGAAAATCAAAGGAAGAGATAGAAAATGGGGTGGTGGGATGATATATCTTCTAAGATGTTTATAACTTATTTAAATTGTTTTGTAATATTACTTTCTAAATTTCAGAGCATTGTAATGAATTATAATATACATGTACATATTTCTACCTATTTATCTTCATGTAGGAAAAATATAACTTGACCTTCTCAGTAAACTTGTTAAAATTTTCCTAAAATGCTGAGCTTAGGGGTATACCTAAAAGGAATATTTTGTACAACATCATGTACTTGGAAAACAAGACCCAGAGGACCCACGGTGGATGTGACTTGAAAGCCTCCTTCCTGGGGTCTAGTTTTCATGGTACCAAAAGGTGCTACACAAGATCAAGGCAGGGGGAGGCAATCAACAGTCCTGCCTTTCTGAGATACAATGAACCACAGTTACAACCAGCATGGTACATTAATCATTAACCATAAGGGTGCAGTAGTGGTACTCATACCTTACCTTTAACCAACAGCTCTCTAATTGGACTAAGGTCCTCTCGATGGGGGGAAAGCCATGCTTTGTTTCAGACACTTAGCCAACTACCCAGGGATAAAGAGGTCATGAATCTTAGAGGAGAACGTATTATCTCCAAGTTACTAAACTAGTGTAATCCCTAACTACATTCTAAATACTTATCCTTATAATCACGAGTCAAATAGCTCTCACCACATATTAAAGAAACTTCTCTTTGCTACAGATAGAGATCATTACAGAAAACTACAACTCATCAGAAAGCAGAGAATTACTGGGTGTCCAGACACAGTTGATGCATTTACAACACAACTCCTGTACCCAAGACTCAGGGAACATTGAAAGACAGTAAGAGCTAGGAGATTAAAAATCTGCTATGATCATGTATTTCCTAGAAATGACAGGAAAGGTACACTCAAATACCTTAACAATTTGACTATCTAAGTATGACCTGGAGAAGCACATTACCAATAGTCATGCTAACAGGGAAAGGGGGAATCTCATGGGGCTCCACCCATGGACAAAGAACTATAGGCAGCCAGAGAATACTGGATGTGGGAGAAATAGTCTTCCCCAGGGAAGAGTCCCTTAACTGATTATCCAATATCAAGTGGTCTTCCCTGAAATCACATGCACACAAGTAAAACTAAGCAAACACATCAGGTTGTATTTATGTATTTGAGCACAGAGGGCATATATGTATCAGTTAAAGACAATGCCATGTTTTAGGAAGGAGCAAGGGTATGAGAACATGAGAGAGATTGGAGAAAGAAAAAGAAAGCAGAAAAGTGTGTGTGTGTTGTAATTATTATATCATACATTAATCATGACTACAGTTTTCCCTCCAGCCCTCGTAGTCACTCCTTCATACCTCCACTCCCCCCAGATCCACTCCTCCATTTCACTTTTAAAAAACAAAAAGGCAGTTCTTCCGGGAATATCAACCAAACACAGCTTAATAAGTTACAATTAAGACTAGGCACAAACCCTCATATAAAGGCTTGGCAAGGCAACCCAGTAGGAGGAAAGGGGTGTCAAGAGCAAGCAAAAGAATTATAGACAATCCCCCTACTCCACAAAAATCTATTTTAATTCCCCTTCCTGGAAGATACATGTGCCCCCCCCGCCCTCCTTGTGACTTACCCTCTCTGGGTCTGTGGATTGAAGCATGATTATCTTTTACTTAAGAGCTAATGTCTACTTATAACTGAGTATATACCACATTTATCTTACTGTATCTGGTTTATCTCACTCAGAATATTTCCAGTTCCATCCATTTGCCTGAAAAATCCATGATATCATTTTTAACAGCTAATTAATATACCATTATGTAAAGGTATCTCATCTTTATCCTTTCTTTGTCTGAGGGATGTCTAGGTTGTTTCCAATTTCTGGCTATTCTGAATAAAGCTGCTATGAACACAGTTGAGCTACTGTCTTTGTGGTAGGATGAAGCATTCTGTGGATATATGCCCAAGCATGGTATGGCTGGATTCCCAATTTTCTGAGAAACCACCGTATTACTTTCCATGGGGCTGCTATCAGCAATGGAGGAGTGTTCCCCTTACTCCACACCATCATGAGCTGTCACCTATGTTATTGATCTTAGCCATTAGGACAGGTGTAACATAAAATCTCCAAGTAGTTTTGATTTGCACTTCCCTGATGGCTATTGTTGTCGAACATTTCTTAAAGTGTATCTCAGCCACTTGAAATTCCTCTGCTGATAATTCTCTGTTTAGACCTGTACCTCATTTTTAAATTGGATCATCTGGTTTGTTGATGTCTAATTTCTTGGAGATCATCCCTCTGTCAGATGTGGAGTTGGTCAAGATCTTTTTCCATTCTGTAGGCTGCTTTTTGCCCTATTGACTGTGTCCTTTGGTTTTTTTAGAAGCTTTCCTTTTTCAGGAGGTCCCATTTATTAATTGTTCATATTAGTGCCTGTGCTATTGGTGTTCTGTTCAGGAAGTGGTCTCCTGTGCCAATGTGTTCAAGGTTATTCCCTAATTTCTCTTCTCTTGTGTTCAGAGTTCTGGTTTTACAGTGCAATCTTTGCTCTACTTGGACTTGAGTTTTGAGCACAGTGATAGATATGGATCTATTTGTTTTCTTCTACATGCTGAAATTCAGTTAGACCAGCATCAGTTATTGAAGATACTTTCTGTTTTCTATTCTGTCTTTCTGGCTCCTTTATAAAAAAAAAAAACAGGTGTCCATGGGTATGTGGATTTATGTCTGGGACTTCAATTAGATTCCATTAATCAATCTTTCTGTTTTATGCCAATACGGTGTAGTTTTTATTACTATAACTCTGCAGTAGGACTTGAAAACAGGATAGTGATACCTGTGGAAATTCTTTTATTGTACAAGGTTGTTTTAACTCTCCTGTTTTTTTGTTTGTTTGTTTTTCCATGTGAAGTTGAGTATTGTTCTCTCAAGGACTGTAAAGAATTGTGTTGGAATTTTGATGGGATTGTGTTGAATCTTGCAATTGCTTTCCTTAGGAAAGCCATTTTTACTATGTTAATCCTACAGATCCATGAGCATGTAAGATTTTTCGATCTTCTGTTATCTTCTTCAACTTCTTTCTTCAAAGACTTGAAGTTTTCCTTGTACGAGTGTTTCACTCACTTGGTTAGAGTTACCTTGAGATATTTAGTAGTATTTGTGGCTATTACCAAGGGTATTTTTCGCTGATTTTTTTCTAATCCCCTGTTTTCTTTATGAGAGCTATTAATTTTTTCTGATAATCTTGTATCCAGCCACTTTCCTGAAAGTGTTTGTGAGCTACAGGAGTTCCCTGGTGGAATTTTTAAGGTCACTAATGTATGCTATCATATCATTTGCAAATAATGATACTTTGAGTTCTTTCTTTCCTGTTTGTATTCCCTTGATCTTCTTTGTTATCATATTTTTCTAACTAAGACTTCAAGAACTATATTGAATAGATATGAACAGCCTTGTCTTATTTCTGGTTTTAGTGGAATTGTTTTGGATCTTTCTCCATTTAATTTGATGTTGATAATTGGTGTGCTGTATATTGCTTTTATTATGGATACATGTGTCCCATTTATCCCTAGTCTCTCCAAGACTTGTATCATTCAGGGATGTTGGATTTTGTCAAAGTCTTTTCCAGAATTTAATGAGAAGGCCATGTGGTTTTTCTTTCATTTTGTTTATATGATGACTTAAAAGATCATTGATTGATATTCATATGCTGAACCATCCCTGCATCTCTGGGATGAAGCCTACTTGTTCATGGTGGATGATCTTTTTGATGTGTTCTTGAATTCTGTTTGAAAGCATTTTATTGAGTATTTTTGCATCAAGGTTCGTGAAGGAAATTGTTGAATCTTTTTGTAGTTTCGGTATCAGGGTGACTACGGCCTCATAAAATGAATTTGGCAATGTTCCTTCTGTTTCTATTTAGTGGAATAATTGAAGAGTATTAGTATTTGGAACTTGAAAAGGTTAGAGTAGCACAGACATTTCTTTATATAATAAACATAGCATACACTCAGTGAGCAAGCAGATCATATCCATGAGTAGCATAAATACCCCATTATGCTGTTTTTACTTATATGAAACTATTCTTTCAATGTAAAAATGCTCATATTGTATCAACAGCTGTATCTTCAGATGGAGACTTTAAAAGTTTGCAGATATTGCCTCTCTTATGGTACTCACCTCCAATGATTATGCCTCATGATCTTCTCCATGGATTCAGAGAGGGTCTTTCCTGTGCTCAGATCAAGGCAGGACAACTAAGTATTTTGATCTTTGTGTGCATCTGATTGCAAGCTGTGTATATAATCCCATACTTTATAAATATAATGATCTTGTGCTAAACCTGCTGAGCATAATTGGGAGCTTAATGCACACAGCCTTGGGATCTTCGTGTTAATTACTTTTGCTCCCAAACTGTGTGTAGTGGGGAAAAAAATCTAGATAGATGTTAGAATATTGCCACTGAAACTTACCAGGAGGGTGTCAACAGTCACTTAGCCTCTTACGGTGTCAGTGTGCTTATCTGCAAAATGAGGATTGAATATTTACTGCAGATTTCCCTTTGTGGCTTAATGAGATATAAAGAATTTGTGAAACTACTTACTTGGTGCTAAGCACATAATAAGCCCTCAGTAAGTGCTAATTAATTTCAAATTTGGTCCAGAAAAGAAATGCATGAGAAGAATCAGATTATACTTGAACAACTGAGGGTATACCTCAGACTGCCCCCCACCCCCGCAGCTGCAATGGTGCTGGCAGCTTTTGCTGTGAAGTGGAATGGGAATAAGATTTTAGGCTGCCTCTTAACACCTTAAGGAGTGTTCCCTTTAATTTGACATGGTCAAGTATTCCCTGACAAACATAATTGATTGTCCAGGTAACATGCAAACAGGAATTTGGTTTTCCCCATAAAGAATTTATAACCATTCTGTAATTAGCTAAGTTAAAAACTGTGATAAACAAGTAGTCAGAGAAAGGGCAGGATTTTGAAGGGGGAGAATAGACAACAGCTCAACCCAAGAGAAAGAGGGATATGCAAAAGTATCTGTCTTACTCAATGATCACATGGGTCTCTGTTGTAACACTTGCAATCTGCATGCAACAGTTCCATGGTCAGAGAGACATGTTTAAGGAATGATGGCATCTCAGGCAAGGTTCTCAAGCCTGCAAGTATGAGTGAGAGAATTCAGTAATGCAGAAGTGCCGGTGAAGGTACTGGCAGCTGTACTGTGCCCAATGCTGTTCCCTGGAGTGACACGGGCTCTGGCAGACATCATCAATTTGCAAGTCAGAATTGCATGGTCTTCACAACCTTGATTTAAAATGATGATGAATAGGCCTGTGTCTGCCATGGCAAGGGAGGAAAGTGTAGAGAATCAATTATCTTAGAGGATAGATTAACCCCTATCCAGAAGAACAGGGGGCAGTGTCATTGACTGCACTATGGACATCACTGACTTTGTATACCACAAAATGTCCACGCAGACCCTCCAAGACATCTCTTTCATATCATCATTCTTCTGATATGAAATGTCTGAACATGCAAACCATAGGTGAGTTTTACTCTGCTTAAGTAGACACCAGGACTGCCACTTACACAGCATTTCTTATCTACTAGGGAACTAGATGAGACTCTTGATGATGATGAAACAGTGCTGCCTATATGATGGCCTTATTGTGCAATATGAGCAGGCAGTGTATGTGAGCTGGTGCCACCTTTATAGTTTCTAAGTTACACTACGTTGTGATTGCTTTCTGGCTAAGATATGGATCATGGACCGGTGTAGTAGTAGAAATGAGTCATCTGTCTTAGCTAGGAGTTTTGGGTTTTCCCAAGAGTAACAAGTGAATGCACAGGAGAAACTGAGGAAGACAAAAAGAATGGGCACATCTACTTTTCATATAGAAAATGTGCATCATAGGTCAGTTTCATGAAGACTTTTCCATACCTCCAAAGCAGTACAGCTTCATTTAGAATATCTGCAATAAGGAGATAATTCCAAATTAGTACAGTCATAGACACATACTAGATTTACTCTACTTTTGGAAAACAGAAAAATATGCAATAAAAATCAAGACATTTGCTATATGCATCTATCTATCCAAGATGAAAAGCAAGGATAAGACTTAATTGCTAAATGTAAGCAACTACAAGTACATGAAAGAAACAGGAAAACACTAGACCTAAGTGTAGGTGGAAGTTTCTGTCCTACCTGGTCCTGCAGCCATTTAGTCCCAAATAAACACACAGAGTATTGTATTAATTATAAAGTGGCTTACTGGAGGCTCGAGCTTCTTATTGGCTAGCTCTCTCTTAGTTATTAACCCATTTCTATTAATCTGTATATCTCCACATAGTCTTGGACTACCAGTGATGCCTAGGACTCTTGCTTCCATAGAAGCTACATGGCATCTCTCTGACTCTACCTACTATCTTTCTATATCCCTGTTTGGATTTCCTGCTTGTTTATTGTCTGAAATAGCTTTATTCGTCAACTGATAAGAGAAACATATATTCACAGTATACAGAAGGACCTCCCCCATCACCTTAACACATAGCCATCCTCACAAGAGGAGAAGCACGTACAAGAGTCATTGATCTCCCTAAATTACCATGTGGAGTTATCCTGACTCAAGTAGATGGATAGAGTTCCTAATAATCATACTGAGTTCATATGATAGAGATAAACATGAAGAGAGACCTAAGCACTATAACTATAGTTCAGGATCCCAGAGCAGAAAATTCTGCACAGAGAGAGACCCCAGATGTATGTGTGTGTGTCTGTGTGTGTGTGTGTTGTGTATGTACATGTGTGTGTAGGTATGCATATCATGCTTTTTATTTTGAGCCACAAGCCAGTTTCCAAATCACTACATGGAGGCTTATTATTAGTTTTGAATGCTTGACCTAGCTTAGGCTCTTTCCTCATCCGTCTCAAGCCTAGATTGCCCCTCCTATTCCATTTGCCTGCCAATTTCACATATCCATTTTTCTGACTAGCTACTGGCTGTTCAGCTCTTTATTAGGCCAATCAGATACCTTGGGCAGGCAAGGTGAAACAAATGCAGCACAAACAAATGTAACACACCTTCATGCAGTTAAAGTTAATGTTCTGCAGCATGAGTAAATGTAACACATCTTTGCCCAGTTAAAATAATACTCTACAACAGGCATTTGCACCCACATGCATATGGAGTTCAGATGATGACATCAGGTGTTCTACTTTAGCAATCTCTGTCTTCATCCCTTCAGAAAGGGTCTTTCACTGGGTCTGAAGTTAGGTTGATGGCCAGCAAGTCTCAACCACCACCAACCTGTACACACAACTTTGTACATGGTTGCTGGGATTCTAACCCAGGTTCTCATACTTGCACAGCATGTGATCTTACCTATTAAGCCATCTGTCCAGCCTGGAAATCCTTACAGTCCACAGAACATTAGGGAAATTAAATAAGTAGCCTTTAATTTGTCCAAATTAAATTAAAGGCTACTTTGGTATTGCCTAACAAAGCTGAAAATCAAGCTTGGAAAGGAGCAGTTGTGCCAGCCAGTGGTGGTGCATGCCTTTAATCCCAGCACTCGGGAGGCAGAGGCAGGCGGATCTCTATGAGTTCAAGGCCGGGCTGGAGCGATAGATTCCAAAACAATACAGAGAAACCCTGTCTCAACCAAAAAAAAAAAAAAAAAAAAAAGAAAGGAGCAGTTGTTTTCCAATAACATATTGATGTTTCAGAGCAGAGTTTAATTATGGAAACTAAAGAATAAAAGAAAAACAGACAACTCATATATGCCATAAAAATTCCAGATCATAAAAAGCAATAGGAAAATACCAATAGAATGAGGAGCACTATCAGCCCAGACAAACTAATCAAGAAATGACAAAAATGATAAAACTGGAAAAGTGTATCAGAGTATTTGTTGTAATGGCATTTCGTCTGCTGAAGGAGTCAATGGACTTGGCTGCCATCATGATTGAAAGCTTGGTTTTCCTTACTTCTCACCTCCTCCCTCCCTCTCTAGACATTATTGAAAGGGATCCAGCTATAACAGTGAGAGACATCAGCATTTTTCAGTATCACGTAGAAATCTTCCCAGGCTATCTACATAAAACAGGAAGCAACTCCTTAGTAAAATCTGTAAGTAAAATAAAACCTGGAGAGTAACTAAGAAAAAGAAGCCACCAAACCAATATTGTGGCATGAAGAGAAGAAAATCACGGGCTGGCTGGACACTCTTTGTCCTGTGACTGACGTGTTGAATGTGTCAGTCTCACTGCATCCAGTGAGAACCTTGAGTTCTCAGTGCCTTGCGACCTCTCGAAGCTTCATGGCAGCTTGAACTCTTCAGAAAGACACTCTCCTCCCTCAGATCAAAGTCCCCACAGCTAAGATTACATTGGAATTTACATCAGAACATGTCTCCTCTCATGTGGTTGGGGAAAGAGAGAGTGTCACCATCCCTCTTTAAAAGATGATTTAATCCTTCAAGACTCCAGGCTTTTTACTAGACATTTTATGGAAATTTTTGAAGAGCTTCAATGAATTCCATTAAAAAGAAATGCAAATTGAAAGGAATTCCTTCCTCCTAAAGTAATTCCATAATATGTATTTGATTCTCACATCAATTAGGCTCTGAGTCCCTCTTTTTAGGAGACAGTTTGGTTTGGTGTCTTATATAACAATGGGCTGATGGGCACAGGAACTCCGGCACTTCTTTGACATTCAGAATCATTGTCCCCAAGCAGAGCCGAAGGGCTGCACACTGCTGTATCTACTTGTCTTTGGTTCTTGGTATCTGTCTTATTGAAAGTCTGGTCTGGGTAGTTTCTAACAACACACAGTTATTTGGGCTTCACTAACTGGGGATGCAGCATTTCAGAACTATCATCACAGTAGGGATTAAATAAAAGAATTTAATTGATTGCAAAAAGTGCTCATACACACACACACACACACACACACACACACACACACACACACACACATGCACACACACACACACACACCAGTGCAGGGAAAGCCCCAGTTTCAGAAAAGTTTGAAATTTCCCCATAATCTAGGGAGCAAAGAAAGGCCTCATCTGTTATGGGAATGATACACTGAGATCACAAGTTCAGGGGTCAAGGTAAAAGCTGGGGAGGTTTGAAATGTGTGACTCCAGTCTGTTGCAGCTGCTTCTTGGCTCCTCTCCCAGTAGCTTCAGCACTAAGACTAATGGCTAAGAAGACTCCAGGGGGTCAGTAAGTAAGAGCTTGTAAAAGGACTAAGTCTGAATACAGACCAAAAGAAGGGGAAAAACATCTTCCCATGGAAGACATTAAGTCAGATCTTCAAAGAAATTCTGCGTACACTCTGCATTTCTATCCATTCTTGGTCATGACTAGTCATCTCACAGGCAGAAAAAGGGAAGCTTAGAAAGTGCTAAAAACAGCCACCTGAAATGCTTCACCATCCCATGTGTCCTGGGTAGCTTGGTAACACAGTAACTAAACAAATGACACAGGGCCATATTCCGGATACTGAAAGCATGATGCATCTTAGAAACAGAATCAAAGCTCTTATAGCCACAGCAGGGGGTGTTAATGATGCCATGCCATCTTCTCTCATATTTAGTCAGTGCAGAAATGTACCCAGCACAGGACTTGGATATAAATGCTTCTAGCAGCTTTGTTCCCAGCAGCCCCAACCAATGCTCCTGATCTTCAACAGGTGGATGGATCAAAAATGGTAAAAATAGAATATTGCTGGATAAAAGAAAAAACGAGAGTAAGAAAGAAGCAAAACCCCCGTATCTACGGTGACAGGGCAAATGGTAAATTGACATACTTTGCAAAACCAGCCAGACACAAAGAGTATAAATGATACGCTATTTACATGAACGTTTATGAGGAAAAATAAAATCTGCACTGAGAGAAAGCAAATTGGAGGGGCAAGGAGCTGGGGAGAGGATGCAGCTGCCAAACGTAAAAGACATAGGCATTGGAATGGTGGTGATGTGCTACATACTGATTGGTGGCGGTTATAAAAATGTGCATACTTTTCAAACTCACTTAACTTCATAATTCCAAATGAGTATTTCACTTTGTTGTTTGAGATTTTGCTTCAATAAAATAGATTTTTTAAAAATGGAATACGTTCATTAAACTTAGAGGAAAGACTAATATTTAAATATTTCCTTGATAGTCCATTCAAAAATCAATTGGAATGGATTAAAAACATTGAAAAATATTTGGCTATATATAGTCATTGGTGTTCTTTTACATAGAATATGTTCTGTTTTCTCCAAAAGTTGAGGGACCCTCCTCCTTCCAAGGTCTAAGGTAGAAGAGTGGGCTTTTTTTGTAAAACTGGATGAAAGAGCCAGAAGTTACAGAAGACATGGTAGAGTAGTCTTCTTTTTTATTATTTATTTATTTATTTAGGTTTTTTAAGACAGGGTTTCTTTGTATTGCTTTAGAGGTTGTCCTGGAACTTGCTGTATAGACCAGGCTGGCCTCAAACTCATAGAAATCTGCCTCCCGAGTGCTGGGATTAAAGGCGTGTGCCCAGCTCAGTCTTCATTTTTTAAACTCAAGACATTAAGCAATAATCACATGTTACTCACTGAGTGAGTTCCTCCGGCTTCTTCCTGGGAGGAGCCTTCTCTCAGATTATGAAAAATACTCCATCGTACTGAAAACAGCCCCACATTCCATCTCAAATGGATGGATGAAAATAAATGCATCCATGGTAACTCTGTGGACTCTGCATCCATGCTCTCCCACAGGTGATCTACTTCTGTTAAGGGAAAATAAGTAGGAAAACATCTACATAATGGGCAGTGAAAGAAAAGTTTCCCCTGAGCTCTTCAGATGGAACAATGAAGGAAATCCTGTAAAAGTTACTTTTTCATGACAACATGAAGACATGGAAAGATCTTATCCTTTCACCCTTCTCCAGGATAACGCTGGAATTGATTATCTGGTAGGCACTGAAAAACAGCCTAACAGTTGCTATATACTGAAACGTTGTGTGATCAGACATAACTAAAAACCAATATTAACTGATTGCCTGCACTTGACCACATATTTTACATCTGCTGACTTTTCTAGTGTGCTCAGAACCATGAGATGTGGGTTTGATGGAAGCACTGGACTACAGAGTGTGAGGTAAAATAACCATCCTGGACTTGTACAGATAGCAGTTGGTGAGAAGATTCAAACTCAGATCCCCACTTTGGATATTTAATTTCATTTTTACAGTTCTGTTTTGGTGAAAGGGTTGTTTTGGTTGTTATTTTTGGTTTTGGTTTTGAAATAGGGTCTCTCTATTTAACCCAGGATGTGCTTGAAATGACTCAGTATGCCTTGAACTCAAGATCCTCCTACATCAGCCTGCTAAGTTTTGTGGACTGCCGACCTATTGTTCAACACACTACGATATGTTTGTTATGTTTGTTGGGTTTTCAAAGTGTTTGTTTTATCTCTTGAGGCATGGTCTTATGTATCCAAGACTAGCCTCAAATTATCTATGTGGCTGAGGATGACCTTGAATTTCTGAATCCTTCTATCCCTACTTCCCAAATTCTGAGATTAAAGGTGTGTTTACCATCATGCCTATTTTTAACATGTCTGTCTTTCTAGAATTGTGTGTTAGAGTCCCAGACTTAGGACTAACATGTAAGTCTCACAAGTAAGGTGGTTTTGTGCCAACAAAAATTCACAGAAGTCAGTTTAAGGGGACCATGCTTACATGATATTTGGGGAGTACTGAATAAATGTACATTCTAAGTGAGATCAATGTTTCTTTCTTTTTATTTATTTAAATTAGAAACAAGCTTGTTTTACATGTCAATCTGTTTTCTCTCCCTCCCATCCTCCCCTGCCCCCCACCAACCCCTATCCCATCCCCTTTCTTCTCTCCAGGGAGTGGGAGGCTTTCCATGGGGGATCTTCAAAGTCTGTCATATCCTTTGGAGCAGGGCCTAGGATCTCCCCCATGTGTCTAGATTGAGAGACTATCCCTCTATGGGGAATGAACTCCCAAAGTCCATTCTTATACTAGGGATAAATACGGATCCATTACCAGAGGCCCCATAGAATGCCCAGACCTCCAAACTGACATCTATATTCAAGGGGTCTGGATTAGTCCTATGCTGATTTCCAGCAATCGGTCTGGGGCACATGAACTCCCTCTTGCTCAGGTCAGGTGTTGCTGTGGGTTTCTCCAGCCTGGTCCTGACCCTTTTGCTCATCACTCCTACTTCTCTGCAACTGGATTCCAGGAGTATGGCTCAGTGTTCAACTGTGTGTGTCTGCTTCTGCTTCCATCAGCTACTGGATGAAGGCTGTAGGATAGCATATAAGGTAGTCATCAATCTCATTCTTGGAAAAGGGCATTTAAGGTAGCCTCTCCACTATTGGTTAGATTGTTAGTTGGAGTCATTTTTGTAGATCTCTGGACATTTCCCTAGTGCCAGATTTCTCTTCAAACCTATAATGGCTCCCTCTATTACGGTATCTCTTTTCTTTCTCCCCTCTATTCTTCCCCTTACTTAAATCTTCCTGCTCCCTCATGTCCTCCTCTTCTCCCTTTCTCTTTCTCCCCTCCCCCCATTCTCCCAATTAGCTCAGGATATCTTGTCCTTTTCCTCTTCTCCAGGGGACCATGCATGTCTCTCTTAGGGTCCTTCTTGTTTCCTATGATCTCTGACAGTGTGGATTGTAGGGTGGTAATCCTTTGTTCTATGTCTAAAATCCATATTTGAGTGAGTACATACCATGTTTGTCTTTTTGTGACTGGGTTTACCTCACTCAGGATGGCCATCCATTTGCCTGCGAATTTCAAGATTCCATTGTTTTTTTCCACTGAGTAGTACTCCATTGTGTAAATGCACCATATTTTCTTCATCCATTCTTCAGTTGAGGGGCATCTAGTTTACTTTTAGGTTCTGGCTATTGCAAATAATGCTGCTATGAACATGGTTGAACAGATGTCCTTTTTGTATGAATGTGCATCTTTTGGGTATATGCCTAAGAGTGGAATTGCTAGATCTTGTGCTAAACTGATTCCCATTTAAACAGCCATAATGATTTGCAAAGTGGCTACATGAGTTTGCAATCCCACCAGCAGTGGAGAGTGTTCCCCTTTCTCCACATCCTCTCCAGGATAAACTGTCATTAGTGTTTTTGATTTTAGCCATTCTGACAGGAGCAAGATGGTATCTCAGAGTTGTTTTGATTTGCATTTCCCTGATGGCTAAGGATGTTAAGCACTTTGTTAAGTGTCTTTCAGTCATTATAGATTCCTCTATTGGGAATTCTCTGTTTAGTTCTGTACCCCACTTTTTAATCAGATTATTTGGTGTTTTGGTGACTAGTTTCTTGCCCTCTGTCAGATGTGGGGTTGGTGAATATCCTTTCCCATTCTGTGGGCTGCCATTTTGTCTTCTGGACTATGTCCCTTGCCTGAAAGAATCTGCTCAGTTTCAGGAGGTCCAATTTATTAACTGTCAATCTCAGTATCTGTGATACTGGTGTTATGTTCAGGTATCAGTCTTTTGTACCAATTCGTTCAAGGGTATTTCCTATCTTCTCTTCTAAGAGGTTCAGTGTGGCTGGATTTATGTTGAGGTGTTTGATCCATTTGGACTTAAGTTTTGTGCATGGCAATAGATATGGATCTATCTGCAGTCTTTTTGCAGTGTCTTTTTGCCTTAAGTAGAACTTCAGATTTCGGATTTCTCCAAATAACCACCCATAAACTGTTGCACTTTTTATTGCATTAGGACTTAATTAGGGCAAAAAGTGTTTTGCACATAGTCTCAGCCTATGCTTGTCCTTTAGAGAATGTGGATAAATGCAAACCACATTTTTTTGTCTCTGCAAATGCAGCATATAATTTTGCCAGAGACAGAAGAGAGACCCAACAAGTGTGTACTGTTGAGAAAGAAGGATGTGGTAATGTTCTAAGGAAGCAGGGGGATGGAAGATAAGCCCTGCTGTACAATGCAGTGGTGATGCAGGCAAAAGAAGATGACATCCATTAAGGAGGGTCCTCCAGGAATAAGAGTGACAAGCTAGGAACAATTTAGGAGGAATAATGTTGATCACCATTCCAAACTGCCGTGCTATAACACGATCATATCCTAGAGTCCAGACTTTATCTTTCAAAGCCCGGAGACTGTGGTCTCTGAAATGCTGAGGTTAGCCATTTCATTCCCTATTCATTCCCCAGCTTCCTTTTCTTAGTGGGAGGGAAGCCAAGACTTCAACAGGGCTTCTAAAGCCATGTGCTCTGTCACTTCCTACTGCTTTACTCCCCCCCTCCACTGATCCTTTTAGTCAAAGATCCTTCCCAGAGATTTTTCTTCAAGTGGGCCTTAAGCCACATGTTATTTCAAGTATATGCAAGGCCTTTGCTCGTATTGGAAAGCTTCCACCAACATTTCTCTCAGCTGAGGAGCTGGCTGATGTTCCTGTCCAGACTGTAGGTCAGGAATGATTTTCTGAAGGAGGGACCCTGTCTCCCTAGAGTTATCCCCTAATTACCTGCTCACAGAACATTTTGTTCCCTGGCTCCTTGCGATCCATCTTCAGGGAGTGCTCACCACGGGGCATTGTGGCTTCTACACCATCCTACTGGTTGACAGCTGGATGGGCTGATTAGACGAGATGGGGCGCATGGGGGATGGTACAGCTGTAGACTGGATGGACTGATTGGTGAAGTGAGACTAAGCAGTTTGTTCACGAGGATTTGCACCAGATTGGATATCCACTCTACCATTTTGATGAATCTGAGGAAAAGCAGTCGCTCGTTCTATTTAAGCACTCCCTTGGTCTCTTCAGCATTTACCTTGTTTTTAGATTATTACTGTGTTGGCGCATCAATCCTATAGACACCCTTATCTTTATTCCACAGGATCTAGGTTGTTTTAAAATGAAATCAGGAAGCAGACACTCCAATTTTGTGGTTTGGCTCCCTCTTTAGTTTCTCTCATTTCATCTTTATTCTAAACATTATAAATGGTTTGAAAAAAACATACTTTATTTTTTTGCATTTGTATTGCTCTTATCATTGGCTGATTTGTAAGTTCTTAAAAATGTTAAAGCATGCATTAATATTTAAATATAGCATTCTGGGATGCAAAAATATGTGCATTTGAAGGCACTTTAAGACAAAGATGCTACAGGGAGGTCACAGGACAGCATCACAAGTCTCCCAAACAACCTCGATGAGTTTTGATTAAAGCCTCTGACTGAGGTGAATTCCTACATGAAACTCCATTGTTCTAAACCCAACAGTAGCACCTCTTGGTCAGATCCATGAATTTGGAAAGGTCTTCCCTTAAAATCCTGAGGATTTGAAATACTGGTAAATGGAGAAGGGACAGCCTTGACCTGGCTGTTTGTGACTGCCTCAGATACTCAACTGAATCTCTAGCCTAACCTCTTCCTCAAACAGCATCTACACTCTGTGAGTTCGAGGCTAGGCTGGACCGACAGCCTCCAAAATAATACAGAGAAACCCTGTCTCATAAAACCAAAAAAGAAAAAAAAGCATCTACAAAGCTTAGATTTCCACACAGCCTCATGTTTGTGCCGTACCCCGTGGAGTCTGATGTTCTGTAATTTATTTTGTTTTGTTTTGTTTCGTTTTTCACTTCAAAAATACTTGCTAATTTCTAGTAGAGTATTTTCTTTGACTAGCGGATTCTTTCAAAATGGAAAATTTCAAACATTTTCTCCTTTTTTAGTTACCTTTTGAAATCAATTTCACTTTGAATGTACCTATTTAAG